GAAGAGAGGGAATACAGAAATTCTCTTACATAGTCCTTTTGATAGTGATTCGTGTTTCAAAAAAAAGAAAAAATACTATTTATTAATTGTTATCCAAGGAAGGGTCTCTCTTAGCTTGAAATTAGGTGGCAGATTTCTACAAGAAATTTTTGTCTCCCTCTCCTCTCTCTCTTTCTCTCGTGTATGTGTGTGTATGTGGGTAAGATTTACATATTTCCATCATGAAGCTTATGGCCTCTAATAAACTTTTTCTACTGGTACTAACTGAAACACTTAATACATATTAAGCTGTCAAAAATAATGCTACAAAAACAAACAAGGGGCGCTTGGGTGGGTCAGTCGGGTAAGCCTCCAACTTCAGTTCAGGTCATCTCACGGTTTGTGAGTTCAAGCCCTGTGTGGGGCTCTGTGCTGACAGCTTAAATAAATAAATAAATAAATAAATAAATAAATAAATAAATAAATAAATAAATGAGATGCCTTCCCTTGAGTGAGCAGCAGTCAGAAGGAGAATGCAAATTCATTATTGTGAACAAATAATCAAATTATTGTATTTTTCTATGCATTACAGATTCACCTGTAGAAATTTAAGGTCATTCATTCAAACATTTGCTGAATCTCTGTTACATAAAAGAAAAAAGCTTTGCTCTCAAGTAGCTTTCAATGGAGTAAGAAAGATAAAACACAATAATAACTTTGTTCAAAACTTTCTACTTTATGTTATGCTTTTGCATTTCCTGGGGGAGATATTTAATTTCGTTCCACCTTGCTTTTTCTCATCCGTTAAAATAGTACTGTGAGGGTTAAATGAGAACGTGTGCACGTGCGAACTCGTGTAAGCAAGCATGCGTACATATTCATAGATCACCACAATGTCTGGCATACTGAAAACTCTCTGTCAGTATTAACCATTATTATTGTCATCTATTTCCTCATTTGACTCCCATCATGACCCTGGGATGGAGAACTGAAGTCTGAGCTTTAGGGAGATTAGGTGCTTTTCCAAGGATCACATAGCCTGGAGTTTCCAGAATCTGATCTTTACTTTTGTCTTCTGACTTTCAGTTTCTTTCATTGTATTACATTTTCTCCAGAATTTTCCAAATTGAAGACAGACATGAGTCTTCAGATCAATGTGTGCTTTAATAAAACTTCAAAGCATCAGGCATAAAGAGAAACTCTCAAAGTGACCATGGAAAAAAGATTATCTACAACTGAATAATCGGAGGCTGACTTCATATTTCTCACCAGACACAGGGGAGACCAGTAAAGTTTGGGACACTATCTTCAAAATGCTGAGGGACAACAACAGTCTGAACCAAGTGACCAACTTAACTACTTATCAATAATGAGAACAAAAAAATACATATTGAAATATATAAAGACTTTCAAAAATTACCACCAACAGATCTTTAATTAAAAAATGAATGCTTAAAAGAGATTCTATAGCAAGGAGAAAAAAGTAAACTTACAGGGAAGGAAAGAGGTAGCAAAACCAAATGTTAACATGATTTCTACTCAATATAGTGATAGATATAATTGTTTCAAAACTATCTAAATGACTTCTTAAGTTTTAAAAAGACAAAACTTAAATGCTTTCCAAAAATAAAAATATAATGGGCTTTTAATGGATTTTACAGTGAATTAAGGTCCATGTGTTGTGGAGGTAGGTAAAATATTCAATTTCATTAGAAATAGTTATATATATATATATATATATATATATATATATATATATATATATGTTAAAGGAGTGAGGGTGACAGCTTAAAAAACTAATAAAATATAATATGATATAATAAAGTAAAATATACAGTTCATGGTGTTCAAACAGCAGATGGAAAAAAATGACACAGAATAGTTAAAAAAAAAAAGGAAAAACAAAATCAATCAAATGCTAACAAAAAAGAAACTGATATAGTAATAATAAATTAAACAAGATAAAATTAAAGGCAAAAGTATTGATGGAAATGAAGAGCTAATGCACAACGGAAGGAATAATTCTGTAACAAATCATAATATGTTTAAGCTTGTCTCTAATAATATCATTTGGATACACATAAAACCAACAGACACATGAAAAGATGCTCAAGATCAAAATCAGGGAAATACAAATCAAAACCACAAGGAGATATCCCCTCACACCTTACATCTGTCACCTTACACCTGTCAAAGATAAGTAACAAGTGTTGGCAAGGAAAAATACATACATACATAAAGCAAACTGTTGGCAGCAGTGGTAAAATGTCAGAGTTAAATATGTAGATGGTGATATCAAACTGGGTTGGGTTTAAATCGTAGTGCTCCCAATTACTAGCTTTGTGGACTTCTTACTTTCTCGTATCCTCTTTGTCTGCAAGCTGGGGAAATGATGCACTCACTTCATATAGTTATTGTAAGGGTAAATAAGTTATATGTAAAATAAGTTATATGCAGAGGGCACATGACAGTGCCTGAATAAATAGATGCATTAATTTTTAGAAATTGAGAGAATTGCTAAGAATTGATTTCCCATAATAATGTGAAAATTGATAATAAAACAAAACCTAACAATGGATTTTCTCTAATAGAGAATATATATTGAACCCTCACTCCAAAATATAAATAGCATGTATTTTTCAAGTTATCGGGATACTATATAAAATTAATCACATCCTAAGTCACATGTAACATCTGATTTTTTTTCAAATGATTTCTATCACAAAAATAAGGTCTTCACACAATGCATTAACTAATAAAAATAAAAGATGGTTATTTGTGAAAGTTAATATATTTTCATAGGTAAAGTGTGAGAAAAAAAGATCGCAATAGAAATTAGAGATGATATAACTGAATAAAAATAAAAGTATTATACATCAAAATCTGTCAGATGCTAGTACAGCAGTAATTAGTGAAATTTACACACATAAGTGCATTTATGAAAAATAGTGATTGAAAATAACTAAGACATAGTTTAACTCAGTAAGATAGGAAAATAGTAGAATAAATTAAATAATTTGAAGAACCAAAGAAAAACTAATGACAGTAACAGAAAATAAACTCAACAATGACTATTGCTTTGAAAGAAAGAACTAAGATAGACTTATCAGTAACAAAGAGTATCAAAAATAGTCATGGGAAAAGGGAATGGAAATTGTAAAAAGGAAAAGGACTATATTTCTACAGAGTGTTTATAATGTTAAAAAATTATGAAGAAATGTATGCCAATAAACTTGTAGATTTATATTAAATTTGCAACTTTCTAGGCAAATATGTTAGCAAAATTGCCTAAGAAATAATAATCCTTCAATAAATTTAATAAATTATGCAATTGGACCTTACCCAAAAAATACCAAAACTTCTAGACAAAAAATTCATACTGTATAAAAATATTTCAGAAAATAGAAAATGAGGGGAAGCTACCCAACTACTTTTATGAGGCAAACATATCTTCATACCCAAAGAAGACATGAACAGTGACAAAAAGAAAATCCTGTAGGTAGACACCAAAAAATTCAATAAAGTTCAAGCCTCATTTATGACTGTTTTTAGCAAATGAGGAAAACAAGGAGAATCCCCGAACTTATCTATAGTAAACACTACACTGTGATGTGCTACTTCAGAAGCATTCCTATTAGACTCAGATGCAATATGAGGAGGTCTCCTATCACTGCCTCCAACAAACATTGCATTGCAAATTCAAGGCAGACAATAAGTAAAAAAATTAAGACATATAAGAAACACAAAAACTAGCAAAATTATCTTTATTGAGAAATACTAGTTATAAAATCCAAGAAAATTTATAGACAAGCAATTGAGACTAAGAGAATATTCAGCAAGTTTGCCAGATATGAGATCAATATATAAAATCAATAGCATCCCTACATATGAATAATCATCAATGAGTAAGACAATGGCAAAACCCTCCACAGTATATAGCAGTAAACCTAGCAAAAGTTGTATAGTAAGCTTTCATTAGATAACACTATAAATTTGAATGATGTTTTAAAGTACCAAATAATGGAAAATTATGGTATAATAGAAGACCTAATCTACAAAAAGTATCAGTTCACTCTAACATTCTACGTTAAAAAAAATTTTTTTTTGATGTTTATCAATTTTTTGAGAGACAGAGTGTGAGCGGGGTAGGGGCAGAGAGAGAGGGAGTCAAGGTTCTGAAGCAGGCTCCAGGCTCTGAGCTGTCAGAACAGAGCCTGATGTGGAGTTTGAACTCAGGACTGCGAGAGCATGACCTGAGCCAAAGTCGGACACTTAACCAACTGAGCCACCCAAGTGTCCCAAACATTCTACATTTTTTTAGAATTTTTAATCCAATTTCAACAGTAATCCCAGAAAGAATGGGTGTGGGTGTGGGTGGGTGTGTTTTATGGAACTTGCCTAGCTTATCCTAAAATCTATATATAGGAACAAAAATAATCCAAGATTAATAAATTTAGAAGAAAAATAAGAGGATATCAACAAATATTTAATGCTAGAGTTACTAAAATAGTGTAGAGCAGAAACCGAAATAAACTCATAAACAAAGGGTCAGAAAAAAGAGTCTGACACAGATTCATACATGTATTGAAGTATAAGAGAGAAGTGGCATTACAATCACTGAGAGAATAATGGAGTTTTCATTAATAGCATTAGAACAACTCGGTACGCAAATAAAGAAACAATCCCAAATATTTGAAAGTTTTAAATATGAAAAGCAAAACTTTAAAACTTCTAAAGAAAATACAGACTATGTTTATGATCTTGAGGTTGGTATTAGATATTAGATAAGGTATTAGTTATTAGATAAGGCCTAACATGCATAACTAATTAAGTTAAAAACTGTCACATTTATCTACATGTCAATTAAAACTTTCTGTTTAATAAAATACCACACAGTTAAAGGAAGCTGCAGAATGGGAATTTATACATGCACGGAGTGTCACCAATAAAGATTTTGTATTCAGAATGTATAAATGATTACAAATAAGTAAGAGTAACATCCCAATAGGAATAAAGGGCAATATACATGAGCAAGATATTCAAGAAGAGATGTTCAAATAGCCAATAAAATAGAAGTAAGATGCTCCACCCCACATATTATTAGGGAAATGAAAGTTAAAACTGTGCCCAAATTAGAACGACACAGCTTTACAAACTCAGCAGACAAAAATTTAAGTCTGACTATAATCTAGGTTTACAAAGGTTAAGGGGTCTCAGAGACTCTCATACACTGATAGCACAGTATAGCACTTTGGAGGGAAATATAGCAATAGTTCATGAAATTTAATATGCTGAATTAGTTTTCTTTACTGTCATAGCAAATGACTACAAACCTCACAGTTTAAAACAATGAAAATTTGTTAGCTTACAGTTCTGGAGGTCAGTAGTCTGTCACGGATCTTGCTGGGCTAAAATCAAGGTGTTCTGTCCACAAGGCACGGCGTTCCTTTCTGAATGCTCTAGGAGAGAAACCATTTTATTTGCCTTTTTCTACCTTCTAGAAGTCGTCTATTTCCTGGTTCATAATCCCCTTCCTCCACCTATAAAACTATCAACAGGTGGTTGAATTCCTTTCAGGTGGTATCTCCTGACCCTTTAGTCTGCCTCTGCTAATTTCAAGGACTCATGTGATTAAATTGGGACCTCCTGAGTGATCCAAGATTATCTCCCCTTCTGAAGATCCTTAATCTTAACTGCATTTGGAAAATCCCTTTTGCCATGTAAGGTGATATATTCCCAGGTTGCAAGGACATCTTTGGGACAGCCACTCTTCTACCTATCACATGTACATATGTTCCTTGAACTTAGCAGTTCTACTTCTGAGGACTAAAGGAAACTTTGCAAATGTGCTCATAGAGATATTCACAAATATGTTCATTGGAACACTGCATATTACATAAGAATTTAAAAATCATATTTATTAATAGGAGAATTAATAAATAATATTGATGCATCCATACAGTGGAATACTGCTTGGGTTAAGATAAATCTTAAAAACATAATATTGAACAAAATAAAATATAGAATTATATATGTGTGAGTATGTGTGTGTATAGATAGATATAGAATATAACTACTTGAATTGTCATAGTAAACGCAAGATTTGGTATAATGGTTATTTCTGGGAAGTGAGAGGAGGGGAAGACACATAAGTAAAGCATAATGTTTATATTCATTAAAGCTAAGTAGGTACACATATTTTCCTTAGACCTTTTCTTTTTATGTTCGTGTGTTTTACAATATGATTGGTAAGCTTTTGGGTTAGGGCACTGAACTGAATGAAGGCATCCCATAGCAGGAGCAAAGGCTAAGATGAGAGTACAGCCGAGTTAAGCCTACATTCATTGATGTAATTTAAAAACTCTAGACCGAATACCAAAAGATGGGCTTTATTCCTGGCTCTATCACCAACTTGCTCTGTGACTTTGAGAAAATTAGTCAACACAACCAGATCTTACTTCCCCCATCTCAAAAGCGAGGACTTTGAATCAAAACAGTTTAGGTCTATTTTGACCATAAGAGAGTCTACCTAATGACTTTTTATGTACAGTACGATTTTTTATCACTAATATATGGGTCATTTGGCAAAGTACATATTTTTGAGATTGGCAATTGTGTCCAAGGAAACTGTACACACACACACACACACACACACACACACACACACACACCTCTTCCATAATTCCTGACTTTTGCTTAAAACCAACCCTGGCCAGTCTTTTTGGTCTTTTAGAGATGGCCCCAGAGCTGGGATGGGGGAGAGCAGCTATTAAAGCAAATATGGGATAAGATTTTGAGGTGGGATTGAATTTGGAGTCCTGTTCTTTGTGGCCCTTGCAGAACCAAGCTCAGTTTCCCATTCATATGATCTCCTTGGAGAACATGTTCAGTGGTGAGCTGTTACAGTACATCTCCAGAACACTTATTTCCCAAAACAAATCTATTAATGCCATAGAATTATGGTAACTGCCAGTCCTAATTTAAGAATAGACAGTGTTAGACTATGGGGTAAATATTTCCTGGCAAAAAATATGGCCATACAAATCCCAGGGTTACTAAGTGATCTCCTTGCCGATGCCAAAATGGCCCTCGGACTGCAAAAAGAATTCCCTTTACAGATGCTCTGCCACATCACAAATGCTTCTTTTGTCTTATGTGCAAAATCAACTTTAAGGACCGCCCAGACTTTACCTTGATTCATTTCTTTGGACACTACTTGGCATGCCCTAGCAAGCAATGTCTTCTTCAATAAGAACAAACCACTTACTTCAAATGACATAAATTCTTGAGTAGGGCTCTGACCAGGACAACATTGCCCAAGGCGGCAGGCTGTGCTCATTGGCCCTCTTTTTTTGAGCAGCCCTACTTTCATGTCCCAGTTACTCAACTTTGAGCACAGCCAAAAATGATCTCGAGCCAAGTTCTTCTGGACAAAAAACACTCAGAACTCTTGCTTGTTTCAAGCCAGTAGAAGACTCCAGCCGGATATTGGACCCGTCAAGTAGTTTTAATAACTAAAAGAAGAACATATTAGATTCTTGTTCTCATTCTCTGTAGTGCTGAAGCCACATTCTTATAAGCCATTTCTATGTAGACTTTTTATGTTTCTATTTAAATTCTCTTCTGGTTTTATTGCTTCTGTACATACGATGATATTTCAGAATATGGTTTGCAATCATGTATATAATTCCCAAGTGATGACTTCAGGTATATATCACCATTCTCTGTTTTAGGAGAGAGTATTCCAGGTAGTGTATAATGATCTCCACTCTCTTGTCACTGCATTCTATTTATCTCCCATTCATTTTCCCCTAATCTTTTGGAATTTGACCCCAGACTTGTGGTTTTCTTCTCCAGCCCATCAACTGTTCATGTGAACAAGTTATCCAAACACCAAATATCTGTAATTGACAACTTTTTCTCCATCAGTTACTTCTAGAACATGCCACCACACAAATTGCTCCAATTCTAAAAATTATAAATTCAAGTTCCTCACTTCTATCACACCCTCTAATTTTTCTAATTTATTTAGTGGACATCATTCTATCCTTCTGGGTTCCCCAGTTCATTGACTCTCCTATTTCTATCTTCTTATCACCTTTCTTTTCTCTCCCTTTGGGTCAGATTACATGATTCAGAATTTCTGTAATTATCCTGATAAAACCATTGACTTTTTTTTTTTTTTGCATGTTTTTTTCCTCAGAAAAATCTAATCTTGTATCAACTCATTCATTTGCTTTGGAAAACAGATCTCACAATATTTTGGAATTGCAAACCTTATCTTTTTCTCTGGTCAGCTTGACTTCCTACTTTCTCTAAAGATTATTTAAAATTTTTCTTCTATACTCAAACTGCAACTTCTGTCTCAACTTCATACCATAGTTATTTATTTTTAATTTTTAGTTGATAGTACCATTTACTTCACAGCAGAGAAAGATCCACTTGAAAAGAATCAACTAAATTTACGAGCATCCAAACCACAAACCTACCTGAATCTGCATGTACCTTCTCTTCCCTCTGTGCTACTAAAGGAGGTGGCCCTCTGGTCTTATAATCATCTGGGCTCTGGGCTCCCATGCCCATCAGTTTACTCTGGAGCCTTTCACTTTTTTTACTTTCCTCTGAATCATCAGTCTTCCAGTTTATTTTCTTTTAAAGTTTATTTATTTAAGAGAGAGAGAGAGAGAGAGGATACACATGGGGCTATCAGTCATCAGGGCAGAGCCTGATGCAGGGCTTGATCCCACGAACCAGGAGATCATGACCTGAGCGTAACTTCCAACTTCATATAAGAGCTTTCTCATCATCATTACCTGATCTTCCAACCATTTTAACCATTCTTCATTTCAGTAGTTTTGAAAATCTATGTTTATTAGTTATTTGAGTTTCTTTTTTGTAAAGATTGTGCTTATATAGTTTATGAAATTTTCTATGCAATTGTCTCCTCTTCATTGATTTATAGGATCTATTTCTAGATTCCAGATATAAATCGTTTGTCAGCTAAACAATGCACTAAGTGTTCTCTGTAGCTTGCTTTTTGAGTTTGTTTATGAGGTCTTTTGTCATATAGGGCTTTTCATTTTACTGTGATCAAATTTAATAGGCTTTTTTTGGTATCTTTTAAAAAAAATTTTGTTTTATGATGTAATAAACATATATCTCAATATTTTCTTCCAGAATATTCAAAGTGTTATTTTTATATTATGTCTTTCATTCACATAAGATTTTTGAAATATATGGGGACCTTGGGTGGCTCAATCGGTTGAACGTCCAATTCTTGATTTCAGCTCAGGTCATAATCTCACGGTTGCTGGGTTTGAGCCCTGCATCAGGCTCTGCGCTGGTGGTGTGGAGCCTGCTTGGGATTCTCTCTCTCTCTCTCTCTCTCTCTCTCTCTGCCCCTCTCTGTACTCTCTCTCTCTCTCCAAATAAATAAGTAAATAAAGAAACTTTTTTAAAAAATAATTTTTAGAGAATAGTGTAAACTAATTTTATTTTTTTCTTATAGTTTATTACCCAAGCAGCATTTATTCAGCTGCCCAATTTCCATCCAGTGATTTTAAACAGGAACTCAATCATCTGTCTCTGACCTTTATTTTTTTGTCCCATTGGCTGATTTTCCATTCATGCATTAATATCACTCTGTTTTTATTATTACATTGCAATAGATTTTTTCTATATTTTGGTACATGGTATGGTGAATTCTTCCACCATATCTGTTTTCTCAAAACTCTTGCCCTTTTATTTGAATTTTAGTGATTACCTTAGTCATAAGAAATTTTATTAGTTTGTTTTTTAGAATTGCACCAATTTAAAAATTTTGGTGAAATGACTGTTTTTTAAATTTTTGACTCCCAGCTATAAACATGGTGTACTGTTTTCATTTACTTCAGTCTTCTTTTGTATATTTCAAGAATATATATTATGCTTTTATCATCAAATTTGTTATATCTTTTTTATTCATATGTTTTATTTTATCCTCATTTACTTTAAACTGTTTTTAGTAATAAATAGGAATGTATCTATTATCTCTCTAAATTCTCTCAATCGTGCTATAGTTTGGTTGTATATTTGCTTCGTCCACATATACGATAAGATCTCTCAGAACAATGACAATTTTGATATTCCTGTTTTATTCACATATACTTTTGTCTTCCTTGCCTTTGTTCAAATATTCAAAAATATGTTAAGCAGAAACAATGATAAAGAGAATCCTTATTTCTGACTAATGATATTTATTGTAGGGTTTTGTGAATAATATCATGTTTGGGAAATTTCTTTCTGTTCTTAGTTTGCTACGATTTTTCACTAGAAATGGATTTTGAATTTCATTGAATGCTTCTTTTTGTATCTGTTGAGATGGTATGATGGTTTTTATCTTTTATTTGATAATGCAGTAAATTATAGTATTAAATTCTTTTGAAGTTAATTAATTCTTGAACTTACGGGATAATCTCTG